CGTGGGCTTCGCTTGTGGGGCTCGGAAGCAATAGCCCTCCCCGCTGCTCTGGGCCTCCACGCTTACAGGCCAGCTCGCTCGCGTGGTAAGACTACGGGCTGCAGCACCACCCAGCACGAGGATGACGGCAAGCGACAGTCGCCCTTCATCGTGCCTGGGGCACGGCAGACGCCTGTCGGCGTGATCAGTGAGTCTCAGTGAGCTAGTCGCCCCGCAATCTGGATGCACCGGGTCATCTCCTGGAGTGGGGGTATATAGCAGCGGGCCGCGGCGCGCCATTTTGGCACAGGCGGTGGTAGCAGGGTTGGGACCTGAGCAGGGCACGCTCGTCAGTCAGTGTGCCTAATGGTGGTTCTACCGTGCGTGTCGGTTGTCCGCCTCTGGCACCTTCCATCTCTTGTCGTCGGGTTCTCCAGTTGCGCTCTTGTGGTAATCAATGAGCACCGTGTGCTCCGTGAGTGAGGGTTCCTTCTGCCTGTCTCGTCGCCTCTCGCTCCGTTCGCTCTGCCTGTAGGTGGTTTCCCTGTTGCCTACAGCTGCATTGGCCGTCTCGGCTGCATGGGTACAGGCCCCGTGCGTGCTGTGGTTGGCAAGTGGTCGCTGCTTGCGGGCGCCGTTTGGGCGGCTCCTTGCTTGCTCGCGCTTCCGTCCGCCACTCCCGCCGCCTTCGGCTGGTCTGGCCTCTGCTACTGCACCAATGCAGGCTGTGCGTGCCTCGCGGCCGGTTGCTTGTGTCTGTCTCTTCGCGAGTTGGCGCCGTCAGGGCGACTCCTCGCTGGCTTACGCCGGCCGTAGCCTTAATTGGTCCTTGCATGTGCACTCCGCGCGTTCTCGCGCTAATTATCTTGCGCTGTGCCCCAGCCTCGGCCCTTGCGCCCTCTGGACTTTTCCTTGCGGGCCGCTAATCAAAAAAAAGTATCCCCACCAGCTGGCGGACTGGCGCCAGCAGGGCGACTCTCCGCTCCTGAATGTAGAGCACTTTGCTTATTGCACGCGCGTTTGCCTTCATTGCATGTCCTACTGCAGTTGCCTCTGTTGTAGTTATGCGAGCTGGCTCGCCGACACTGGCGGCCGTGTTCGCAAATTCGCACCTCCGGCGCCCCGGACGTCGCTCCCGCTCTTTGGCGGTCGCCTTCGAGCCGCTAACAAAAAAATATCCCCACCAGCCCATCCAGAAACGATCAGCAGGGGAGTTGGTGAATCAGGGGCGGCAGGACGCATGCAGTCGCGCAGCCGTCTTGGAGAAAACGAGGATCACACATAGCTTCCGGCATTGTATTTTAGGATGGGAATCGGTGCGAGCTACGATGGTGCTTCGATGAGGGGTGAGGGGTGTTTCGATGACTCGTAATGGCCGTTGCACTGATAGGTGTCTTAAACTCGCGTGCGTTCCGAAACTTGAAGGCATCTTGGGGCTCTCTTGGGATTCTCTTGGGCCCCTCTTGGGGCCTCCTGGGGCTCTTTCTTGGGGCTCTCCTGAGGTTCTCTTAGGGCCTTCTTGGGGTTTCTTGGGGCTCTTTTGGGGCGTCTTGGGGCCCTCTTGGGGCTCTTTGGGGGTGTATTGGGCCTTCAAGGGGCTCTTTTGGGATGCCTGAGGGGCCTCTCGGAGCCGTCTTGGTCCTTATGGCTAAAGAAGGGGGGGGGGCCCTCAATTCTTGTCCCCCCCTCGGAGGCTCTTGGCCCGCTCTTGGAGCGCTTTTGGGCGTTCTTGGGGCCGTCTTGGGGCTCTCTTGGGCCAGTTTTGGGGTTGTCTTGGGCCATCTTGGGGCCATCTTGGGGCCTCAAGAGCCCATCGGAGGCGAAAAAGCGAGAAGACAAAACACAATGATTGTCCTTAGGCTGTTGAAGGATGTTGGCCTCTTGGGGGGGGGGTCCTTGGAGGCCTCGGAGGGCACTTGAAACCGTCTTGGGGCCGTCTTGAGGCCTCCTAGACGCGTGTCGGAGGCTATCTTGGCCCCTCTACCGCTATCTTGGGCCATCATGGAGGCCATCTTGCGCTCTCGGAGGCCCTCTTGGAGCCATCTTGGGCCATCTTGGACGCTGCTATGGGTCCGTCCCCCCCCCGTCCAAACACAGGGAGGGGGGGGAGGTAAGCCTCCCGAGCAGGGACAAGGCAGGAGGTTGAAAGGGAAACGCCCTAGACCACCTGCGCCCAGAGGGCTGGTGGGATTATTTTCGCATGCGTATCCCTAGCAGGCCACCCAGAGCCCGTCCAGAAACGATGCCCGGGCGCGTTGCACTGATCAGGGGAATGTAGGAACAAGCAGTGGAACAAAGAGGGAGGGCAACCGTCAATCCGAAGCTCGGGATCATCGCAGCAGGCCCAGGAGTCAATCATAGATGCCTTCGCGGATTTTCGACCTGAGAGCCTCTTGGCAGCTTACTTGGGCCCTCTTGAGTTCATGTTGAAGGCATCCATGGGGGCTCTCTTGGGGCCCTCTTGGGGTTCTCGTGGGGACAACTTGAAATCTGTTCGGGGCCTCTAAGGGCCATCTCGGAGACCGTCACTGAATGAAAGGGGGATCTTCATTTGGGTTTCCCCTTTGGGGCTCGAAAGCTGGCCCTCTTGGGGCGCTCCGAAGGTCGATAAGTGCTCACACTATGTGGCCCTCGATCGGAGATCGGGCGGCGTGATCCAGACCTGTGTCGTCGGTGGTGCCGTCCGACTTCGTCGCGGCAGTGTCCAGAGGCTATAGCTTGGCCAGTTGCGCTCGGGAGGGTGCGCTTCCACCCACCCCATCTAGTAGCTGGCTCCTGCTCCTCCTCCTCCTCCTCCTCCTCCTCCTCGTCCTCCTTCTCCTCGCAGACTGCGGCCTCTATGACGCAGCCAGCTCTTAATCCTCGATCCTCCTCCAACGTGGAAGCGCGAAGGCATTCAAATAATAGTGCTTGTGGAGGGTGTCCCTCAGCCAGCGGTAGTTCTGGTTCACCCACAGCTGGCCTGCTCACACCCTATATCAGCGAAAAGTTCAATGAATCATCCACCTCATCATCAACCTCATCATCAGCATCAGCAGCATCCTCATCAGCATCATCATCATCATCATCATCATCATCATCATCATCATCATCATCATCATCAGCATCATCAGCATCAGCATCCTCATCAGCATCATCATCGCTTGCTGCACACAGGATTGCAGGAGTTCGAGAGCATGCTGCAGGAGTAGACAGGGTCTACGACAGACACCGCCCCCGCGAGGAGTCTGAGCGCAGGAGCCTGGAAACACCAGAGGAAAAAAAACGACGGGTTGAACAGCTAGTGAGAAGCCTGAGCCACGCTGCTAGCAAGCCGATTTCCCCCCCCTCCCCCCCCGCGTGCCTCATTCTCCTGGTCCTGATCCTCTTTCGACCTCGACCTCGCTCCCTCCTAATACTCGAGTGCTAACGCACGCGTCTGGCTCCAAGGGCCAGGTGGTTGGAGGAGTGCCCAGCGTCCGCCGTCCCTCGAGTGCTGATTTGGGGTGCGGTAAACGCGCGAAGATTTCTGCTGCTTCGAAGGGCCTGGCTAAAAATCCTGGCCCCGAGGAGCCCACCACGCCAGTAGTGATCAGGCGTGGCAATCCTGCCGCGCAGGGGCTTTCTGCACAGTGGAGCAGCCAAGATACGTGTGCTGCACTGCGTTCGATTCAGAGGGCACCGCGGCAATAGTAGGGTTTTCCTTGTTGTGAGCCGGGAGGTGCACGGCCGCGCATCGCAAACTGACGCTCGGGTGTAGCCCGATCCTAGGGGCAGCAGCTGGACGGGATTTCTCGCTCGCCCCCCATGGTTTCTGATCTGACCAGATCATCATCATCACCATCATCATCATCATCGTAAGCATCATCATAATCAGCATTATGTTCAACGTTACCATCATAATTACCATACTAATCATCAGGGGCATAATCATGATCATCATCACCACCACCATCAGCAGCAGCATCGGCATCAGTGTCGTCGTCATCAACATCATCATCCGATCATCACCGTCATCGCTACCACTGCTCATCATCAACATACGCATCGTCATCATCATCAGCATCAGCGTTACCATTCGCATTAATCATCGCTGTTCCTCGTCATCAGCAGCCGCATGATTCGCCATCACCGCCATCATCAGAAGTACCGTCAGCAGCAGTATCATCAACATCGCTAAGTACTCGTGATCATCATCATCATCAGCATCGTCATCATAAGCGCCATCAGCAGCATCATTGTCATTCGCATCACCAGCATCATCATCAACGACATCATCGCTATCAGGAGGCATCGTCGTCAGTATCATCATCGATTGCATCATCAGCAGCATCATCATTAACAGCATCGCCCTTCTCACGAGTCGTCATCATCATCAGCATCGCCATCAACATCGTCATCATCAGCAGCATCGCCGTTCTCACGAGTCATCATCATCAGCATTGCTGTCGTCGTCATCAACACTAGCTTCATCGTTGTCAAAATCAGCATCGGCATCATCATCATCATCATCATCTGCATCATCATGATCTTCGTCTTCGTCATCATCGTCATCGCCATCATCAGCAGCATCAGCATCGTCACATTCATCCAGTTCAGCATCATCCTATTCGTCATTACTCTTCATCATCATTTCACGCATCATATGCACTGTCTGTATTATCAGTATCACGAACCGTCATCGGCATCGTCACCATCAGCAGTCTCACCGTCATCATCATCATCATCAGCTGCATCAACATCATCAGCAGCAGCAGGACCAGTGGTTTCATTATTCATCATCATCAGCTCACCAGCATCAGCATCATCATCAACATCATCACCATCATCATCATAAACGTCGTCATCATCATCGCCATAATCATCAGCATCATCATCATTAGCAAAACATCATCATCAGCAGCAGCATCATCATCACCATCATCCTCAGCAGCAACACGAGCAGCAGCACGAGCATCAGCAGCAGCAGCAGCACCACTGTGTTCTCAGCAGCCGCACCAGCAGCAGTGCCCTCCTCCGCAGCCTCGCTGGCTCGCGCCACTCTTCTCCCCGAGGGCGGCCTCGTGCGCCCGTGCCCGGCCCGCTCCTCGTGCGCCGTGTGGCCCCGCGCGCCCTCGCTCGAGACATGGCGGCGCTCCGCGCGCACGCCCTCCCGCACGCCGGGCCGGGGCCGCGCCGCCAGGGGCCGGGCTCCGGCGACGCGGGCGCGCCCCACGGCGACCTCGGGCGGCGGGTGCCGCTGCGGCCCCGCGGCATGCTGACCGCGGGCAGGCCTCCGCCGGCGCCGCCCGCGCGAGCGGGCGGGGCCGTCGCGGCGGCGGAGCACGGCGTCGCGGGCGCGTGGGCCCGCGGCGCGAGCCAGGGGGCCGACGTCGAGGAGCTGCTGCGCATGAGGAGGCTGCTGGCGGAGAAGCTGGGCGCCGCAGGGGGTCTGGGCGAGAGGCCGATCAGGGGAGGAGCAGGTCGCGCGCAGGCCTCCTCCTCCTCCTCCTCCTCCTCCTCCTCCTCCTCCTCCTCCTCCTCCTCCTTCTCCTCCCCCTCCCCCTCCTCCTCCTCCTCCCCCTCTTTCCCCTCCTCCCCCTCCTCCTCCTCCTCCTCCTCCTCCTCCTCCTCCTCCTCCTCCTCCTCCTCCTCCTCCCTCCTCCTCCTCCTCCCTCTTCCGTCTCCCGAGCAGGGGGAGCCCGCGACCGAGCCGCGGCCGCCCAGGGTGTCGCAGCGCCCGCCGAGCAGCATCGTGGAGGCCTCGGGGTGCAGCAGGGGGGCCTCGTCGTCTGGTTCAGCGAGCTCGTCGCCCCAGGAGTCCCCGAGGCGCGTGGCCAGGGCGCTGCTGAGGGACGGCCTGGCGTACGTGGTGCGGTAGCCCTGGCTCGCGGCCTGTTTAACGACGCAAGCCCGTGCAATGCCTTCGCGCCGTTCTCTCTCCACATGCTCTCTCCTTCTCTCTCTGTCTCTCTCCCTCTTTCTCTCTCTCTCTCTCTCGTTCTCTCTCAATCTCTCTGTCTCTCGCTCCCTGTCTCTCTCTCTCTCTCTCTCTCTATATATATATATATCCCTCTCTCTCCCTCTCTCTCTCTCTTTCTCGCTCTCTCTCTCTCTCTCTCTCTCTCTCTCTCTTTCCTTCGGCATACAATAATGTACATGTATAATCACACACACATATTTACACATATATGTATATATACCTATACATCACACATGCATGGATGCATACATACACGCATACACACATACACATACACACATACACGCGTACACACATACACGCATACACACATGCATACATACAGACATGCATACATACAAATACCCCTACAAACAAACATGCATATACATACACACATGCATCCATACAGACATACATGCACACGCATACACATGCATACATACATACAAAGACACATGCATGCACACATACATACATACATACATACATACATGCATGCATACATACATACATAAGTACATGATACATACATACAAACAGATATGCATGCATGCCTCCATACATGCGTTCATAAAACATACATGGATTCATGCATGCATGCATATATGCATACATTCATACATACGCACATGCATACATGCATGCATTCATACACGCATACATGCATACATGCATGCACATGCACACACATATATGTATATGTATACATATTTATACACACTCATTCATACATACATACACATAGACATGTGAGTTCGCTACTGTGGACTTAATTAAAACATGTGACCGGCAATACATGGTGTGCAATCTATGCCGCGCACCAAATGTTGTACAGCATATGCTGTGCACTATATGTCATGCAATATGTGTATATAGATGTTGTGCAATATATGCGTCGCAATGTACGTGTCGTACCGTACAAGATGCAACAGATCTGCAGCAAGTTACGTGGAGGGCGCAGCAGATGTGTGCAGTCCATGGTGTGCAGGCTGTGTTGAGCAAACTATGCAGTGGAATCTACGTGGTGCAATATACCCTTAGATCCGACGCTCAAAAAAAATTGGAGCGGCGGGATTTTCGCCGTTTTCGGCCTCCGGGGGCCCTCGCTGAGCCTCGGGAGCGCCAAGAAACGATTCAGGACGAAAAACAAGTCCCTGGGAAGTGGTCCGGACCTCTTGGGTCCACGCTCCAAAAAAATTGGAGTAGCCGGATGTCTGGGTACCCAGACCCCCGACGTCGTGATTTTGTTCACGACGTCGACCCCAGAGATCTGGACCCCTTCCCCGGGACCGGTTTTTCATCCCGAGTCGTGATTTGACGGTCCCGAGGCCCAGTGAGGGCCCCCAGAGGCCGAAAGCAGCGAAAAACTTCCCGTCGCGAGGTCGGGCAACAGCGAGGACGAAAAGCAGCGAAAACGGCCGAAAACAGCGAAAAGCCTCCCGTCGTGATTTTTTCACGACGCGAGGGGGTCTGGGTATGCGGCGGCGGCGGCGGCCAGGAGGCGCACCCGACCAGCGAGCCCAGGCGCCGGGCGGCGACGAGGCGACCACGGGGGCCCAGGCGAGGTCACACGTCGGCGGGTCCGACAGGGGAGCTCAGACGACCGGCGGCGGCGAGGCCTAGGCGCCCAGACCTCCTGGCGTCGTGGAAAAATCACGACGGGGAAGTTTTTGTTATTTTCGGCCTATTTGGGGGGCCCTGCCCGGGCCTCGGGAGCGTCAACAAAACGACTCGGGATGAAAACCGGTCCCGGGGAAGGGGTCCAGACCTCTGGAGGAGGAGGAGGAGGAGGAGGCGGAGGAGGAGGAAGGACGGAGGAGGAGGAGGAGGAGGAGGAGGAGGAGGAGGAAGGAGGGGGTCGACGCTGTGAAAATATCACGACGTCGGGGGTCTGGGCGGGGGGGCGGCGACGAGGTGGCAACGGGGCGGCGGACCCGACCAACGAGCCCAGGCGCCTTAGGCAGGCCAGCCACAACTGGGGGAGCTGTGGTCCTACCCCCCTGGGGGGACCCATCGATTTCGACACCCCTCTCGAGAGGTCGTCGACGCGATGGGTCCCCCCAGGGGGGTAAGGACCACAGCTCCCCCAGTTGTGGCTGGTCGGTTAGAAGAGCTGCGAGAATCCCTGAACTCGGGCCTCTCCCCTACAGGGGGATTTTCTACGAAGGATAAAAAATACCCCAAAAATGATAAAAACAAATATTCAAAAACTAGTCTGGGGACTATGTTTTGAATATTTTTCTGTCATTTATTGTTTGATTATTTTTTTCATTTTTCGTCGAAAATCCCCCTGTAGGGGGACACGCCCGACTTAAGAGAACCCCTAAGTGCAAGCACTGTTTTGGGAGCTTTCCCTCTCTGCCATACTTTTGCCATCCGGGACCTGCGAACCCCCTCCTTATAAACCGGACCCTTCGGATCCCCGGCCCCGGGGCCCCCATGGACGCCCCTGCAGAAGCTCCCCTGGGCTTTCCGGGCGACGATGATGTTGGTAATGCTCACTATGGTGCTGATGCTGATGCTGATTGCGACGGGTATGCTGAGGATGGTGATGATGGTGATGATGAGGATCGCGACGTTCTGACTGGCGTCGGTGACGATGATGGTGACGATCATGATCTTGACAGCGGTAACGGTGCTGACTCTTTCTGCTCTTCGATCCGGCGGCCGCACTCGCTTGTGGAACAGCCCCGCAGCACGCGCTGGAACCTGAGCGCGCGACCATTTAGATGGCCCCCTCCTTTCGTCGTCCTCCTCCTCCTCCTCCTCCGCTCTCCGCCCTCCGACCTTCTCCTCCTCCTCCTCCTCCTCCTCCTCCTCCTCCTCCTCCTCCTCCTCCGCATCATCATCATCATCATCATCATCATCATCATCATCATCATCATCATCATCATCATCATCATCATCATCAGCATCAGCATCAGCATCAGCATCAGCATCAGCATCATCATCACCATCATCGTCATCGTACTCGCCATCAGAATGATCACTGTCGCCGTCGTCACGCGAGCGCTCTCTTCTCCTGCGTGGCCGAGTCTGCACCGCTTATGGGGGCCTCCGGGAGGTCCTCCGAGGCCGCGCTGCGAGGCCCGAAGAGGATCTCGGAGAAGAGGGAGGAGGGAGGAGGAGGAGTAGGGAGGAGGAGGAGGAGGAGGAGCAGGAGGAGGAGGAGGAGGAGGAAGGAGAGAGGGAGGAGGAGGAGGAAGGAGAGGAGGAGGAGGAGGAGGAGGAGGAGGGCGGAGGAGAGGAGGAGAGGAGGAGGAGGAGGGAGGAGGAGGGAGGAGGAGAGGAGGAGGAGGAGGAGGAGGAGGAGGGAGGAGGAGGAGGAGGGCGGAGGAGGGCGGAGGAGGAGGAGGAGGAGGAGGAGGAGGAGGAGGAGGAGGAGGAGGAGGAGGAAAGGTCCCTTGGGAGCGGTGATAGGTAAAGTCCCGCGAGCGCACTCTCGCGTGACTTAGCTCGCACTGCTGTGGAAGCCCTCGGGAAACCCTCCCAGGCCGCGCTGGACGGCCCCAAGAATCAGTAGGACAAAACACGACACAACGTCGATCCCAGGAACATCGGGGAACACCGGGGAACTGGAGGGGAAGACGAAAATCCAGGAAATATTTGAAACCAGTGACGGCGCCGATGCTGATCACACCGACGACGATGACGGCGTCTTCACGTCGGTGATGAAGGTTTTGGAGGGAGCTCGAAATGCGCGCGCGGCAGACGCGCGAGTCTGGCCCGCATGGTATCATTTGACACGGATCGTGCCACCCCAGCACGCACGCAAGAGCGTTCGCCCGTTTGGTCGCATTTTATGACCATGTTGAAAAAGCGTTCGCCAGCGCGCGCGCAAGTTTTTTTGGAAGTCCTCGCTGCGACACCTTTTTTGTTTGTTTTTTCAATAAAAAAACATGTGTTGGACACTCGGTTTTGAAAGCCTTGCGATACCGACGGGTTTTTGAAGGAGTTCGGCATGCGCGCGCGACGACGCTCGCGTGTGCACTCCGCCTCATCCATTGCAAGGGAATGTTTGAAAACTAATGGTTTTTGATAAACGAGTGTGCGCGCATAGTATGTGTTGCAGAGGATGTCGGGGGGGGGGGGTCGATCCCGCTTGGGTTGGGATGGTACGAACTCACATTCAGGGTGGACGACGGGGCAGAATCATAATCCGTGTGATGGGGATCAATGCTGTGCAACCTGCGTGGTGCAACGTCTGTGGTGCAACTTATGCTGTGCAACGTGCGTGGTGCAATTGATTTTAATAAAGGAACTGTCACACCCCATGCTCTTACAAACATCTCACCCACCCACCCACAACCTGGTTTGAAAAACCAACGCGGTGGCGATTGCGATGCATGTTTGGCATTGGCTGGTGCATCTTTGCGGCCGCGCCAACCCTGGCACGCGCGCGCAGCGGCCAGCTAGTTTGGCGCCACCGACGCGGCCACGGTGGCGCTGACCACCGGGCGCATCCCAGCGGGCACTTCACGGCGAATCGAAGATGTGGGCGGGCGAAGTATCATGGCAACGCCGACAACGATAGACACGATGGTGATAGTGGCGATGCTGGTGACGATGTTCGCACCGACGAAAACACGACCAATACGAGCGCCGATGCTGATCATGACGGCAACGATGACGGCGTCTTTGCGTCGGTGATGAAGGTTTTGGAAAGAGTTCGACATGCGCGCGCGGCAAACGCGGGAGAGTATCCCGCATGGCTTTATCTGACACGCATCGTGTCCCCCCAGCACGCGTGCAAGGGCGTGCGAATGATGTCGGCATGCGGCGCCATAGGCCCGTTTGGTAGTATTTTATGATAATTTATATATACGTACATACATACATACATACATACAGACATACATACATACATGCGTACATACATAGATACACCGTTATATATATATATATATATATATATATATATACAAGACTGCACTGGCGCTGCGCGCCATGCACCTTGGTCCTTGAGTTCCGCAAGCTAGCGGAGTGCGTTCGTGCGTACATGCGCGCGCATCTGCGCCCATACGTACACGTTGCATTTGTGAATATGAATGTACGCGTGCAAGGGTATGTACACGTATA